GTGAGAAAGCAAGTTGGATGCACACCCACTTAGTTTTTTGTTGAGCTTTCATACATTTATAGCTCTAGTGCATTCGTTGCATGGCAATCCCTACTCCTTGCATTAACATCAATCGGTGGGCATCTCCATAGCCCATTGATTATCCTCGTTGATGTGAGACTTTCTCCCCTTTTGTCTTCTCCACATAACCCCCATCATCATATTCTATTCCACCTATAGTGCTATATCCATGGCTCACGCTCATGTATTGCGTGAAGGTTTACGAGTTTGAGATTATTAAAGTATGAAACAATTGCTTGGCTTGTCATCGGGGCTGTGCATGATGAGAGCATTCTTGTGTGACAAAAATGGAGCATGACTAAACTATACGATTTTGTAGGGATGAGCTTTCTTTGGCCATGTTATTTTGAGAAGACATAATTGCTTAATTAGTATGCTTGAAGTATTATCATTTTTATGTCAATATGAACTTTTGTCTTGAATATTTCGGATCTGAATATTCATACCACAATTGAGAAGATTTACATTAAAATTATGCCAAGTAGCACTCCGCATCAAAAATTCTCTTTTTATCATTTACCTACTCGAGGACGAGCATGAATTAAGCTTGGGGATGCCTGATACGTCTCCAACGTATCTATAATTTTTTATTACTCCATGCTATATTATCTACTGTTTTGGACTATATTGGGCTTTATTTTCTATTTTTATATTATTTTTGGGACTAACCTATCAACCAGAGGCCCAGTCCAGAATTGCTGTTTTTTTGCCTATTTCAGTGTTTCGGAGAAACATAATATCAAACGGAGTCCAAATGGAATGAAACCTTCGGGAACGTGATTTTCTCATCAGATAAGACCCAGGAGACTTGGACCCTCCACCAAGAAAGCCACGAGGCGATCACGAGGGTGGAGGGCGCCCCCCCTAGGGTGCGCCCCCATGCCTCGTGGGCCCCTCGAAGCTCCACCGACGTAGTTCTTCCTCCTATATATACCTACGTACCTCCAAACGATCAGAAACGGAGCCAAAAACTTAATTCCACCGCCGCAATTTTCTGTATCCACGAGATCCCATCTTGGGTCCTGTTCCGGAGCTCCGCCGGAGAGGGCCGTCATCACGGAGGGCTTCTACATCATCCTAGCCTCTCCGATGAAGTGTGAGTAGTTTACATCAAACCTTCGGGTCCATAGTTAGTAGCTAGATAGCTTCTTCTCTCTTTTTGGATCTCAATACAAAGTTCTCCCCCTCTCTTGTGGAGATCTATTCGATATAATCTTCTTTTTGCGGTGTGTTTGTTGAGACCGATGAATTGTGGGTTTATGATCAAGTCTATCTATGAATAATATTTGAATCTTCTCTGAATTCTTTTATGTATGATTGGTTATCTTTGCAAGTCTCTTCGAATTATCAGTTTGGTTTGGCCTACTAGATTGGTTTTTCTTACAATGGGAGAAGTGCTTAGCTTTGGGTTCAATCTTGCGGTGTCCTTTTCCAGTGACAGAAGGGGCAGCAAGGCACGCATTGTATTGTTGCCATCGAGGATAACAAGATGGGTTTTTTTTATCATATTGCATGAAACTATCCCTCTACATCATGTCATCTTGCTTAAAGCGTTACTCTGTTTTTAACTTAATACTCTAGATGCATGCTGGATAGCGGTCGATGAGTGGAGTAATAGTAGTAGATGCAGGCAGGAGTCGGTCTACTTGTCTCGGACATGATGCCTATATACATGATCATACCTAGATATTCTCATAACTATGCTCAATTCTGTCAATTGCTCAACAGTAATTTGTTCACCCACCGTAGAATACTTATGCTCTTGAGAGAAGCCACTAGTGAAACCTATGGCCCCCGGGTCTATTCTCATCATATCAATCTCCATCACTTTATTATTGCTTTGCTTTTTTTACTTTGCCTTTTACTTTTCACTTTGCATCTCTATACCAAAAATATTATCTATCATCTCTATCAGATCTCACTCTTGTAAGTGACCGTGAAGGGATTGACAACCCCTAATCGTATTGGTTGCGAGGAGCTATTGTTTTGTGTAGGTACGAGGGACTCGCGCGTAGCCTCCTACTGGATTGATACCTTGGTTCTCAAAAGCTGAGGGAAATACTTACGCTACTTTGCTGAATCATCCTCTCCTCTTCGGGGAAATCCAACGCAGTGCTCAAGAGGTAGCAACCCGTTGCACCATATCCTTGCCAAGGCGACTTCTCAAGGTCATCTTCAACCGCTCAGAGGTCGCCCCATCTGTGCATCCCTTTATGCCGATGATGCTGCCATTTTCATTGCTCCAATAAAAAATGACATTCAGTTCCTGGCTTCAACTCTTGCATCCTTTGGTGATGTTACCGGATTGGTCACTAATTGTGCCAAAAGTGTAGTAGCGCCCATTCGCTGCGGTAACATTGACCTTGACGACGTCCTACAAGCCTTCCCAGCGGTTTTCTCCATCTTCCCTATGAGATATTTGGGGCTTCCTCTTTCGGTTTCAAGGCTTAAGAGGATTCACTTTCAATTCTTAGAGGATAAAGTTGCTGGGAAGCTACCACCTTGGGTTGCCAAACATGTGGCCACGCCGGGCCGTGTCGTCTTGGTCAAGGCAGTGCTTACTGCCATTGCTATATATCATATTACGCCCCTGGAATTGCCGGTGGAAGTGAGGAAGAAGATTGACAGCTTGCGGCGTGCCTATCTTTGGGCGGGTTGTGATAAGGTGACCGGTGAAAAATGCAAGGTCAATTGGAAACTCGTCTGTAAGCCCAAGAACTTCGGTGGTTTGGGCATCATCAACCTTGAGAAGTTTGCTACTGCCCTTCGACTGCGATGGCTTTGGTATGAGTGGGCTGACCCCCCCAAGACTTGGGCTGGGACGGGAACACCGTGCAATGATGATGATAGAGACCTTTTTGCGGCAGCCACCACGGTTAGTGTTGGAGATGGATGTAAGGCGAAGTTATGGGAATCATCTTGGCTTGAAGGCATGAGACCCAACGATATTGCTCCAAAGATTTTTGACCTCTCAAAAAATAAATCTACCTCGGTCCAAAAAGCTCTCCTCAACAGTTATTGGGTTAGTCAGATTGATACCCAACATGGGCTCACCATGGAGCATATTCAGGAGTTTGCCTTGATTTGGGAGAAGCTATCCTCTGTTACTCTCGACAATGATGTGCATGATACTATCCTTTGGAAGTTCACATCTCATGAAGAATACTCGGCGTCGACTGCCTATATGGCACAGTTTGCAGGACACACGACAAGCATCATGCCTGCTGCTGTTTGGAAGGGTTGGGCCCCTCCAAAATGCAATTTTTTTTCTTGGTTGATAATTCAAAACAGAGTTTGGACGGCCGACCGATTGCACCGTCATGGATGGCCGAACTGCAACCTCTGCCCGCTTTGCAAGCAAGTCCAGTAAACCGCGGCACGCCTTCTCTTCCAATGCAGGTTCTCCCAGCGTGTCTAGATCGAGGTTGCAACATGGCTTGGTATACATGGTGATATGGTGAGGAGCTGGCGAAATGAGGCTTCGGGTGACCGAGCGTCGAGATCAGAGAAAGGCTTTCGCCTCCTTGTTCATGCTTATGTCTTGGGAGATTTGGAAAGAGGGTAATGCAAGGGCTTTTCGTAACACCGCCGCTATGATGATGATGCTCGTCGCGAAGATAGAAGAGGAGACCCATCTTCGGACTGTCGCCGGTGCCACCCACTTGAGTATTGTAATACCGCGAGAGTAGATATTTGTATCCCGCTTTGCGGTCACTTGTCTTAAATCTTCTTCCTTAATCAATGAAAATGGCAAATTTTTTGCCTTGTTTCATAAATAGAAAAAAGATGAACGCGAGTATGCTGATCTTCGTCGCCTGCCTCCTCACGGCGGCATCGTTCCCGTTCCTGCTGCCCAGTGCCAGCCGAGAGGAACGAAATCAGGGCCATTATAAACAGAGAGGAACGAAAGTTGTCTTGTTGTCCTGGTCGTGAAGTTGGCCCTTGGTTAGCACAAGGGATCCAATCCAATCCAATACAATACAACAGGGAAAGCTTGCAGGAGGTTTATGCCGCTGGCAGCTCCGTGTCATGTTCAACTGCCTCCTTTTTGGTATTCTAGCTTTGTGCATCCGGCTGGTTGTTATGCAGCATGGCCGTTCAGTCATGCGGCTAGCACCGGGCTAATTTATGTTGTTGCATATAATCGCTTGCCAAACAGGTCACTGTATTTTGAATACTCCAAAATACACTGGTATGTCAAAACTGCGGTATCGTGTATATACAGGCTAAAATACTGTGGTTTTTACAATACTTGGCTACCAAACATAGCCTTAGTGCCGACACCAACCAACCATCAGAAAGAGAAAGAGAGAGAATAAAGCAAATGAAAGCATCTAGGGGAAACTTATCACCTCATTCACACGGCTTTGATTTGATGCTTTGCTGGGATCGGAGGGAGGGATGCTTTGTCGAGAGAGCGAGGGACGATGCTTTGCTGTCGGTGATCATTTTAAGCAAGCCCTCCCGTCCAGACTATATATATACGTCCTGAGCAACGCCTGCATACAACCACCAACGCCTCCAACCACTTCTTGCACTTGATTGCAGCCATCTTACAAAAAAGCAAAAAAAAAAAAAGTACCGACCGCGCCGAGGGGGAGTCCTGCAAGTGCTTGCGCCAGCTGGCTTCCCGTGCCCGTACCACCTCCCATGCTGCAGGTACCGCCGCAAAGCAGCTATGGTGCGATTCATGCTCGTCGAATTCTCTTGGGTCCGACAAGGAGTCTGACAAGGAGTCCGACGAGGAGTCTGACAAGGAGTCCGACAAGGAGTCCTGCAAGTGTGTGCGCCGCCTCGCCTCCCGTGCTCGTACCACCACCCATGCCTTCGGTGAACAATTCCTCTGCTCTTCTTTTCTACCTGTTCGTGAAGATGAAGATAGTAAGCACGCCCCTAGAGAACCAAAGTTGAAATTTGATAGGGTGGACGTCTCTACAAGAATGAAATATATCGCGGACGAGCTAAAGCCCATGTGTGCTAAGGTCTCCACCATTCTTGGTCTAGAGTTATTGAGCTCTAGCCATGACATTGGTAATGTTGCCTCTACAAGTAGACCCATAACCACTTCACAATCTTTAGAGCCTAGATTGCATGGGAGGGAATGTCAGCAGAACGATATTGTCCGGGAAATTATAATGGGTGGAGATCTCACCATTATTCCTATAGTTGGTCCAGGAGGCATAGGAAAGACAACTCTCACTCAGTACATATACAACAGCAAAGAAGTGCAAGATCATTTCAAAATAAGAGTTTGGGTGTGTGTATCTACCGACTTTAGTGTGTATAGGTTGACACAAGAGATTGTGCGCTCCATCCCTAAAGCAGAAGGCGAACAAAATGATAGAGAAAGTAATGAGTTACAAAACTTGGACCAACTTCAGAAATTAATTGAAAAAAGGCTGAAAAATAAAAGATTTTTAGTAGTTTTGGATGATATATGGAAATATGGTAATGAAGATGAGTGGAAAAGATTCTTAGTTCCCTTTAAAAAACAGAAAGGAAACGGTGATACAGTTCTAGTCACAACCAGATTCCTTGAAGTAGCTAAAATGGTTAAGACAGGAGATAAATTGTTTGAACTAGAAGGTTTGAAACCGGAAGAACATTGGAGCCTTTTCCTAGCATCTGTGGTTGATAAAATTGATCATGATTTGGACTTAATTAAAATCGGGAAAAAGATTGTAGAAAAATTGAAGGGCTCTCCCCTTGCGGCAAAAACAGTGGGTAGATTGTTGAGAAAAAATCTAACTGTAGAACATTGGACAAGAGTTCTTGAAAGTAAAGAATGGGAATCACAGACCAGTGATCATGATATCATGCCCGCACTAAAGCTTAGCTATGACTACCTCCCTTTTCACCTGCAGCAATGCTTTTCCTCTTGTGCATTATTTCCGGAAGATTACAAGTTTGACTGCGAGGAGCTAATTCACTTCTGGATAGGACTTGACATTCTACGCCCAGATAAAAGAATCAAAAGAACTGAAGAGATAGGGCTTAACAATTTGAATGACTTAGTTAATTATGGATTTTTCAAAAAAGAAATAGGTGATTCCGGTACACACTATGTTATGCATGATCTGCTACATGATTTAGCATTGAAGGTTTCCTCACAAGAATGTCTACATATAGCTTTTTCTATTCCAAGAGATGTAGAAATTGCACCATCTGTCTACCATTTGTCCATTAGTATGAGTGATTCTGCCGATAGTAAGGATGGATTTGTGGAAGAAAAATTTAGGAGAGTTTTGGATAAATTAAGGAACATATTGAATTTTAAGAACCTGCGCACTTTGATGTTGTTTGGAAACTATGATGCAATGTTTCTTTGTATATTTGGTGCTTTATTCAAAGATACAAAATCGTTGCGTGTTGTATATTTGTCAACAATGTGCTACCCTGTGGAGTCTCTATTGCACAACATCTCAAAACTTGTCCATCTTCGCTGCCTACGGGTTGCATCAACGTATAGTATTCAAAAACATTTACCAAGGAGTATATCAAGATTTTATCATTTAAGGGTACTAGATATAAGTGGCTGGAATGGTCCTCATAGTCCGCTCGGAGATATTGCAAACCTTGTAAAATTGCGTCATTTTCTTCTCCCACCTTATGCTTGTGATGATGAATATAGTGAATTTCATTCGAATATTTGTAATGTGGGAAGACTGCATAACTTACAAGAACTACGGAGTTTTGAAGTTAGAAGAGAAAGTAGTGGTTTTGAACTAAGGGAGCTGGGGAAACTAGAAGAGCTAGGAGGATCACTTGCCATCCATAGTCTTGAGAAAGCATTAGCAAATGGGGCACATGACGCAAAACTATCATACAAAAACCGCTTGCACAAATTAACACTCAGTTGGAAGAAAGGCCAACCTAATGTGAGTCCTGACTTAGAAGATCAAGTACTGGAAAGTCTACGGCCACATAGCAATCTTCATGATCTATGCATTGATGGGCATGGGGGCCCTACTTGCCCTACATGGCTGGGTACAAATCTGTCCACCAAAGGTCTGGAGGCTCTCCGCCTAAAGCACACAGATTGGGAATTCCTTCCACCCCTTGGAGAACTATATCTGATTCGTGAGTCTGGAGAAGAGTATTTAGGTTGCATCAGAGGCACATGCTTTCGTAACTTGAAAAGGGTAGAACTCATTGGGTTGCCAAGATTTAGTAGATGGGCAGCAAATGATGTTTGCCCTTGGTACTTTTCACTTATAGAAGTACTCGTTGTGAAGGATTGCCCTGAACTAACCGAGTTACCATTTTCATCTTATACCAGCTGCTGCCCGCTGGAAAGTGATTCGAATGTGACCTGTTGTCGCTGCCTCCTATTCCTTATAGTCACACTTTGTGCTCTGTTATAGTACTGGGACTTGTAGGAAGAGGTCTGGAGGGATTAGTGTACTCAAACAAATCAAACAGTTTGATCATAGAAGGAAGTGATGCTCTGCATGTCCTAGATGATACAATCTTGGCGTTCCATAATTTAACCCAACTACAAGAACTACATATCAAAAATAGCCCATCTCTGGCTGAAACACACCTTCAAATGCTAACCTCATTGAAGGTCCTCATTGTCGAGGATTGCCCTGAACTAACTGAATTAACAATTTTATCTAATACTAGTCGCTACCCCTCAGAAAGAGATTTGAATGTGACCTGGTTTCCTAGGCTAAACACGATTGAAATTGCGGGTTGCCCAAAACTGTTGTCGCTGCCTCCTATTCCTTATAGTCACACTTTGTGCTTTGTTACACTATCGGGACTTGTAGGAAGAGGTCTGGTGGAGCTAGATTACTCACACGAATCAAGCCGTTTGAGCATAGAAGGAAGTGATGCTCTGCATAGCCTAGATGAGACAGTCTTGGCATTCCATAATTTAACCCAACTACAAAGCTTGACTATTAAAAATTGCCCACCTCTGGCGGAGAAACACCTTCAAATGCTAACCTCGTTGAAGACCCTCGACATAGATGGTTCAAGCATTACGTTCCAGGGAGTTGGGGAGGCCATTCTTTGGCAGCTTCCAGTTAACAGGTTAGAGATAAATGGTAGTTGGAGTGGTAGCTGGAAGGAAGTGACACATCTACTGACTCATCTCCCCGAGCTCTCTCACTTGTCTATATGTGGAAGGGGATGTGAGAAGATATTGACAGGGTTGGGCCTGGACGTGCAGCAACAAACAGCAGCATCTTCAGCTCCTAAATTGCAGCAGCAGGATACATATAGAACAGCAGATCCACAAGAAGAAGGAGAAGATGACGACGATGGGCTGCTGCTCTTACCGGCCCATCTGTCCTACTCTCTCCAGGAGTTGGGCATCAAAGATTGTCCAGAGCTTGTCCTTAGGAGCCACGGGACAGGTCTGCAATTCATGGGCTCCCTCAACACAATGAAAATAGCAGGTTGCCCCAACTTCCTGTGTGCCTACAAGGCCTTGTCGGATCTCTGCCCTTCCCCGTCCACCCTGCAATCCCTCAGCCTTGGAGGTGGTATGGAGGGCATGGAGACGCTGGCTCCCCTCTCCAACCTCACCTCTCTCGAGACATTAAGCATTCGGGATGATTTTAGGTGCGACGGCTTGCTGCCTCTCCTTACCCAAGGTCAGCTCACCGCATTAAGTGTCAGCGACAGCCCCAAATTCTTTGCTGGCATTCAGGCGGTCTCCAAACTGCAGGAACTCGTGACGGACGCCATCGCAGCAGTCTTAACCGCGCCCATCTGCCGCCTCCTCTCTTCCTCCCTCACCAAATTATCCTTTCATGATAAAGAGGTGGATCGCTTGAGCAAGGAGCAAGAGGAGGCTCTTTCTCTCCTCACCTCCCTCCAGGAGCTCAAATTTGGGTGGTGCATCAAGCTGCGGTGCCTCCCAGCCATGAAGTCGCTGCACAAGCTCACCAACCTCAAGAGATTGGAGATCTGGGCCTGTCCAGCCATGAGGTCGCTGCCAAAGAATGGCCTCCCCACCTCGCTGCAAGAATTAGAGGTCTACAGTTGCACCAACCTCCGGTGCCTCCCAGCAGGGCTGCAAAAGCTCACCAACCTCAGGATACTGAAGATCTGGTACTGTCCAGCCATGAGGTCGCTGCCAAAGAATGGCCTCCCCAGCTCCCTGCAAGAGTTAGAGGTCTTCAGATGCACCAACCTCCGGTGTCTCCCAGCAGGGCTGCACAAGCTCACCAACCTCAGGATACTGAAGATCTGGTACTGTCTAGCCATGAGGTCGCTGCCAAAGAATGGCCTCCCCACCTCGCTGCAAGAGTTAGATGTCCGCGATTGCAAAAATGAGGAGCTAACACAGCAATGAAGACGGTTAATCGGGGGCATCCCATTAATCAGACTAGACTACTTTTCCTGATCCAAGGTAATTAACAACCACTTCCTTGCTTTTCCTGATCCAAGACCACACACACAGTAAGCTACTACTTTCTTTCGCTTGGTTTAATTACCTCGTCGTTACCTTTTAATCTTAACAGTATGTACATTCCATCTACTGCACGTACAGGGCTTCTTGGGATTCCAATGTACATTCTTCTAGCTCCCCTTGTAGGACTATCTCCATCCATGCACACGACATGTGTGGTATCTTCTCCCTCTACATAAATCTATATATCTGGTAAGTACGTACGTACGTACCCCCACAAAGAAATGTTTGAGGAAATCATGGAATTACAGAGTTTCTTTGCTCACCTCCTGGATGAATTCTGTCATGTATTCACCATTTATTTCAGAATCACATCTCATTTTTCATTTATATTTTCAAATCTTACTAATTTAACTTTGCAGAAAATGCCATGCAGTACGTCCTGGGTATGATACTTATTCCAACAGATGTGAATTAATGCTAGTCTTTTGCCACCTTACCGCTGAAGCCATCAATAGGCAGGAGTGATGGATCAGTCAGGAACTTTGAGATGGTAAATGACCTGCTATAGACTTGGGAGCCTCGGAATTCCTGCCAAAGAAATATATGTTGAAATCATTTTCTACTTTGTTCATTGATCCTAAGTCCTAACATAATATATATTCTCAGGTTTTGTTCCTGGTTATCTAGCACTTCATAAATTCAAAATTGTATTATTCACTGCACGTGAAGCAATGAAAGTTATATATGGACTAGTCTTCAACGGATTTCAAGTTAGTCAACTGTCTCGATGATGCACAAGGTAAGCTTTCTGCAAAGCTTGTCTCATGGTTTTACTTTGTATGCTTTCCGTCAATAATATTGGCCTTTGGCTTATTTGCAGTCAAGGAAGCTATATGAATCTGCCATTTGTCTTGAACCTGAAATTCTCAGAGCTGCATTGTCACTGGGTGATTTGCATGTTGGTGGACGCCACAAACAAGACGCCTTCCCGTTTGGTGCTTGTATAACCTAGATAGTTGACAAAGAATCAATAGAAATGCTTCCATTTCCAAACTAACAAAAATTTCCGCTAAGGTAATCGTTCGTTCCTATCTTGTTGATTTTAAACCAAACGGCACAAGGATAAAGTGTAAAAAAAATTATACTAATTCCTGGAGTCAGGTCTGGGTGTCATGTACAAAATGCAAATTACTAGATCATCGGAGGCCCTCATACTAAAACTTAAATTATGTTGTACCAACGCAGGTTAGGAAATAGCTGAAGACCACAATGCGGACATGAAGTTAATGAAAGAATGGTAAACAGTTTTCTCGCTTTATTCAAATGCTAGTTTACCTTGGATCGTGCATATAATTTATTTGGTCACATTCTAGCCCTCACATAATCCCAAGATTGACTCATCAAAATCCCAAGAGTTGAGTGCAATAAGTTGGTGTCACCCTGATTGGTTTAGATAATTATTTTGTCCCACCAGAGCCATACATAATAAAAACTAAACCACCGTTTGTGCAATCTGAATATTTGGTGAGCTTTGTTAACTATGTATCCGTCTAGTCAGAAGCTCTTGAAAGCCAGTCATTCTCCTTCTTTCCTTCGATTGCTACTCCATTCGACACTTTTCAGTGCAATCTTGCATACTTGATTGGTGTATCCATTCACCATGTATTAGCCATGTAGAGTTTGCATACTGCTCTTTCATATTTAGGGTGCTCAGCGGGCATTGATTTACTCCCCACAATCCTTTGTAAACAGAAGCATCCATCTAGTCAGCAAGTCTTAAGAAAATACTTATTAAAAAGAGGGGAAAAGAGTGTTGGCAATCTAGAGCCAAAAGAGAAAAAAGAGAAAGGAAAAAGAAAAAAGAGTGCTGGCAATCAAAATTTAAGAGGCTCTGATTTTTTGGTGGGAGGAGTCAATTAACGCAAACTTCATATCATTGTGCAATCATCAGCTGCTGTCCATGAGGTATCCATATCCGATAATGACGACATCACTATTTCTAGGGACCACCTTCTGCCTCTCTGATCATTCTTTTTCCTTTTGACATATTGTTTTCCCCATGTGACTGGAACGACAAGGCTTCATTGTACTAGTTTCGGATACTTAATTAACTTTGCAATAACTGAATTTCAGGTTTGCTTAGTCCATTACCCAACCAAACCACACATACATAAGCCTCCACACATGCATATATATTTTAGTGGTAGGGAGATCTTGGCAAACGGCCAGTGAGGAGCCATATAGGTACGTGTGATTGAGAGAGATTCTAGATCATGAAGAGTAACTCCACACTAAAAGCTTACTACTCTTGGGACAAGTTTTAGCACTCATGCTTGTTGAAGGAGATGAAAACTGGACAGCAACCTAAGTGACTTATTGTTGAACAACTTAACAAAAAAAACTTAAATGCCTGACGGCTGTGAGGGCATTAGGATGCGACCATGTAAATTTGTGCATTATCTGTTGTAAGCTTGCAGGTTTATGAAGGTTGAGAACAACTAAGGACCCTTCTCCATACGATCTTCATTGTATCAATCACATCTTATGTCGGAACAGAGGACGCTATACAACCAAGTTTCCAGAAGAATCCTGAGACTCATATTGATGAGAATTCCTCTTCCACAACTCGTCAACAGAAGATTAAACCTAGGGATCTTGTGTCGATTGGAGATCCGTCAAACCATTTGTAATGGAAGAGAGGATTAATACTATTCACCTTCTGTACAAAGATTGCTGTGAGTCTTCATCTTTTCACTGGTGGTCTGCATAGAAGGAGAAGATTATGTGTCTGCATGTGTTCTCACTGACGCTGGAGGCATGTCCGGGCATAACATTCATTCCAGGAGAAGTATGGAGCAAGTGTCTATTGTTGAATGTGCAGACCTTGTGTCAATCGGTGTAGCAGGGGCAATCGTAGAACTGAGGACAGTGACTAAGGAGGACATGCACCGTCAAAAACTATGGAGGACATGGAGTAGCCTCAGAGGAGAGGCTTGTGAAAAAGGAAAATTGATATGGTAATTATTCTGAACGAAAACTTTTAATGTGTCTTTCCAGATTGCTTTACTCGTATTTACATGCACTCTTATGAATTTTTTTTCCATTAAAACTTGCCACAGGGCGACAGGTTGATTATAACTGAATGTGTACCCTGTTTACAAAAATCTGTCATCCTGTACTTGTTGCTCGCTAACCAGTGTTTTACAAAAAATATTGTTGCAGGGTGACATGTTCTTCTAACGGGAACAAATGGTGGAGAAAAGGCTAAGATTGTGGCTGAATCAACAACTTCAACACTCCAGTTTTACTCCGTCCAACCCTCGATTTGTACCTGCCTTTTTTTTTTCTTTCTGATAAGTATCAGTTGCTACAGAAGGTAGGTAACATATGATGTCAAAAGCTCAGCTGCAGCTTACGGCCGGGTTGGAAGACATCAAACTACTGTTGTATTCATTGAATAAGTGAGGGCAAAAACATGTATGCTATTTGAATATTCTAGTATATGGTGTATGTATGCCATTAGACATTTGTTTCGGCTCAAATGACTGTATTGCAACTGCAATTTTGATCTGAATGTCTGACTATATTTTCCTCGTGCAGTCTCAATTCTAAATGAATATTTTATTTCATAGCAAAATTTGTAAAATATGCCAGGAGACTAATCCACTGCTACATAAAAATAATAATTATCAACAGCTCCTGAATAGTACTGCCTGCTCCTGAAATCGGCCATATAAAATTGGCACCTCAGAATTTGTGACAAATTATCAATAACTAAGAGGATGTTAAGTGGGATATGGTTTGATAGAAATTATCCATATAAAATCGGCATCTCATAATTATGTAATCGAAATAGTAGCAGAATCCATAATAACTAAGATAAGAGAATGTTAAGTGGGATTTAGTTTGATTGAAACAAACCTTGGCCGTCTGACGCCGTCGGTTTTTTATACAACTGAGCTAGCGAGGCGCGGGCGGGGGAGGGATGACTGCTGCGGCGGGAGGCGCAGGAGGATCTCTGACTCCGAGAGCAGGTCGTCGTCGGCCGAGCAGGAGCGCCGGCGGCGGCGGAGTGGGGAGCCGAGTGCAGTGCAGGCCGTAAAGTGAAGAGGTCGGGAGCCCAAAACTGGGCTGGACTTAAAAGCCCAAAACTACGCTTACTGTCGTTTCCCCTAGTGGGCTCATGAAAATGCATTGTGTTTCTGCCTTTGGTTTTTATCTGTTTTTTTCTTGGTTTTGTTCATTTTTTTTCTTTCTCTTTTGTTTATTTTTTTATTTTTCCATTTGTTTATATTTTCCTTTTCTTCTTTTAAAATTTTAAAATTCATGAAGTTTATATGAAAATCATCCAGGAATAATTTTTAAAGTCACTGTGTTTACAAAACTCATGATTTTTTAAATCTAAGATTTTAATTTGCATGCATTTTTTAGTCGGGAACACTTTTAAATTCACTAATGTTTTCCAAATACATGAATTTTGCAAATTCATGGATATTGTTCAAATTGACGAAATTTCGTTATTGAAATTTATGATTTTAACATTTTTAATGTACATATTTTTATATCTGGAAAAACCAGATTTGGTTTTCTTCTCTAAATGATGAGGTGCTGCCGAGCATTTTTTACTCTTTTTTTTGAAAAATACGAGCGTGCTTTACTGACCAGAGACAAAGATGAGCAAAGCAAAACAACGAGCGAAAGAAATAACAAAGGAGGTACTGGGTATGTGCTTTGTGATGAGGTCGTTAATTTCTCCATTGAAAGTGACGCGCTGTCAAGCCAGATTATTGGAGGCGTATGCAATCAGAGACGTTGTCAAGCTGGCCACTAACTTGGGATGGCGTCAGATCTCATTGAAAGTGACGCGCTGGACATTCTTAGTCTTTGGAAGTCCCAAGAATTTGAAATACGGAGTAGCTGATAGTGCATGACCTATGCAA